AGCGTCTATATATGAGTGTCAGCATACTTCGCCCCGCCGACTTCGATTTGGACTTGTATACTCGTTGAACAGTTTTCAACAGACATTGACATTCCTTCTTCTTTTTACTGTTGGCAAAGATGATGTACGCAACAGGCTTGATACGTTCGAGAGATAGTGTTACACGTCGATTCAACCTTGACGCCCACGAAGACCGCTTCATCATCGTCATTCAAGCGGTGACCGCTTCGGAGCATTGCTATCTGGGAGAGCTCCTGTCGACGCAGTCGTACCCCGACCAAAGAGACTGTCACGGCCGTCAAATTTTCTACCGCTATCACCTGTGGATATTCGACAACCCCCCGCTGGTACTCGGGGATTCTGCTCGTAACGGCAGAGAATAGCAGACTGACGGCGGGACCTCAAGCTTGTGAAGTTCGGCCGGGCTTCAAGAGCGGTCGAGCTTGAAGAGCTCCCTTTGTGCCTGTGGGCTTCGCATGGAAACGTCTCCAGCGGACGAGGCTTATCGACCTACCGACCTGACTTACCGTAGACAGGTGAATTTGTCTTGCCCTCGAGGCTGGACCCTCTTGGGCCTCTGACCTCGCTCGGTCTTTGAGCGACGAACAACCAAGGAAGGTGCGGTGTACCGGCATACTTTCCACGTCTAGCACCTGCCGTGTTTCGGTTCTGTTCTTCTCGCCTTCCTGCCTTCCTGCTTCCTGCCCTCCGCCCTCCCGCCTTCCTTCCTTGGTGCTCTGCACCTGCCCTGCAACCATCAAGCTCGGGGTTCGACTGCCCTTCAGCAAAAAGAAAAACATCCGGCTTTCATCGTGGTGATCACACTTTCCATCACCCTCACTCCCATCACCACCGCCCCCTTCCTCGACTGACCGCTCCCACGTCGCCTGAGATCCCCCACCTAGGTAGGTATCTGGAGATATTCATGCCGAACTAGGTAGCCGCTGGATCATCAAGTCACTGTACGTATTCCTCGCACTTTTTCCCGACCTTGCTTGTGAGATGCTACTTACCAGGCTGGCAAATCCTCCTCTAGAAATACTTGCCAACGTCTTCTCCTCCTAGGTTGCCCTTCACCTGAGAGCGCATGCCATAAGGTTGGAATTTCTGGACAGAAAGGTAGTTGGATCTACGGGAGCAATCAGTTCTCAGCTCGGTTTCGTCCTTGCCATCTCGCCATTTTGAGTCCCTTCTTTGACTTCACCCGAGCGAGGCAAGTCTATCTTTTCATGACAATCTACCCCTTGGCCCTGCTAACAGCTGCACAGCTGCTCAAGACGACACTTTCCCACTCAGATATCAACATCACCATTTACCCTTGGTCCTTCTGCAAAGGACAAGCACAATTCTCCTGCCTTAGATGGCGCATCTACAACCGATCTTGAACTTGACAGTCGGCACCATGAATCCTGCCAAGGCCGACAATGGTGCTGCGTCCGAAACTCCCAAGTTCACCTACACCACTGCTGGCACCATCTTCAACCCTGACAGTGTTCAACCTATCCAGGCTCCCACTCGCCGCTCTCGTACTCAGAAATGGGGATTGAATTCTGTTGCATCTTCTGAGCTCACCTTCCTACCAAAGTCAATTATCGCCAGCCTGCCGCTGAGCAGTAGTCTCGCGAGAAACAGTGTTCCCCTGAACTCTAGCCCTGTCATTCCTCATTACTCGCCTCTGCAGCAGAACTACGACCGAGCCGTCAGCCCCATTTTCCCCGACAGAAGCTCCGGGCCCCCGTCTCCCGCTGATATGAATCCTGCCCAGAAACGGCCTGACAGTGTGCCCGTTGTCTTGTCGGAGACCACCACCGGCATCGGCAAACCCGTTGACATGGTCGAGAGACTCGAGGACGACCTCGATGAAGACATGTCGGAAGATCCAATCACCACCCTCACCGTCAAGTCACTGAACAGCCTGGCATCGTACCCGAACCCGAACCAGCAGAAGGCTCAGAAGGCTCTTCGTGCTCGTCCTGGCGCGCGGTCTGCCGCCTCCAACAGCGGGAATACCCTGACGGACCGTTCGGCTACTCCTTCCTTTGGAACTTTCTCTTTCAGCTGCTCTGAGACTGGTCGCTCCACTTCGCCCACGACTCTTCGCGGCGTGCTGGCTGGTGGTTCGATGATATTTCCTCCCGAAGGCAGGCAGCGACAGACCGGCCCGGTCAGACAAGTCACCAGCCTCCCTTCCGGCTTCGACACTGTCGATTTACAGGGCGCCAACAACTCGTTTGACGCCAACGCTGTCTACCGGCCGGATCTCGGCACCGGACCGGGGGCCCCGAAGCCTCTCACTGCTGGACCGCCCGGGCAGCGTCAGTATAAGGTCACCAACAGCGACACAGCCCTGCGAAACCCTCCTAACATCACTCCTCACAAGTTTGTCGTTGCCGACGATGACCCTGCTGCTGTCGAGTTCCGCGCTCTCCTACAGAACACTAACAAGTTGGCGGCAACTGAAACACTGTGCCCGGCTAATGCCAGCGACGTCACCACTTATTCATCTGGCGAGGGCGAGCCGTCTTTCCATGGCGTGTGCGAGGCATTGGTCCCCGAGTCAGCTCGGGCGCCAGCCCCTGGTGCGCAGATCGTCAAGCCGCCCACGCTGAAGGCCAGGATGAAGAATACTCACACTTGGGACACCAGGTGCTTTGACGAGGTCAAGCATTTTTACCCTCGTGGAGGCCCTTCATTCCAGAACTTCACCGAACTTGACTCGGATTGGCAGACTGTGTACCCCTTGCACCCTGCTTGGCAGTCAAAGGAGGGCGTCTTCCAACGATCCGAAATGCACATTCAGCGACGTAACGACGCCGTCCACCGTCAATTCTATGCCGGCGCCGGCGCCTTCGAGAAGTCTGTCGAGCAGCTTGCCCGTGAGGCGGAGAACCGTCATCACCAAGAGACTGTAGGCGTTATCGGACAAGGTCGCCCTCATCGCGTTCAGGTCAAGCAAGGAAAGCTGGAAATTCATGAAGCAAACGAAATGAGCACTGCCGAAGCGGCCAAACCATTCCTGACCATGATGCTCACATCCATGATCAACGGCATGAAGAAACCGAGAGAATGACGAGACGGTACAATCCCCTCTGCCGAATGACCTCGGCGTACATTCTTTTTCACTTTTTGATTTTGTCATAAACAGTCGACTTGAATGAGAACAGACACGGAGCACAGAACGTATCTAGACAGTCTCAGCCTTTTCCAGGCGTGTGTTCGCTTGGATGGAGACTTGGGAATGCAGCCTCGTTGGTAGACAAGGCGGGCAGGACGGAGCGTGTGAACTGAGAGACTTCAGGCTTGTGGGCAAGCTGCAGGGTATTGAGCTCACGAAGAAAGAAGGCGAGAAGAAAGATAAAAAAAAAACGATGGGTCTAGCCAGGGAAAAGGCACATCGTCATTCACCAAAAAGGTTGCGAGAGGAGAGGGGCTAGCTGGTTGGGACCATACACAGCCGTCATGCAGATACTTGTCGAGTCGTAGACTTTTTGCAATCATTGCTACCACGCGAGCTGAGACGTGACGTTGAGGTGTGATGTGGTATTCGTGGCGTTGCGGAAGGCTCTATAGTGGATCTACTATTGTCACGACAGGCATCTAGTCAATGGACAAGATTTTGACGTCGGGGTTCTTCCCCTTGAAGAAGCGCTCTACTGCGTCGTTGAGGGTCCAGACAAACTTGGTAATGTCTTCGGCGTGATACTTGGACCTGTCGTCGTCCTCGAACACCAAGTCCTTGGTGTCATGCTCGACCGACTTGCTCGAGTCCCGCCGACGCCCCGGCACGTGGACAGTCTCTCTGTGCTGGCGGAAATGCGCGGCGGCGCAGCGCGTCGAGCAGTAGACGACGGCATGACTCTGCGTCTCGGCGCACTCTTTGCAGATGACCGGGCTCGCGGCGTCGTCGCTGCCGGCCATGTCGACGTCCTCGTCGGTGAGCTGCACGCAATCTTCGGCGGCGGCACACCTGTGTTCTGAGCGGATGTGCTCGTCCTGCGTTCCACGTCAGCGACGTTTGTCTGGGTCTGGGACAGGGCACAGGAAGAGGTCTAGCACGGGAAAAAAAAAAAAAAAAAAGAAAAACAAGAGCGAGGCAACTGACATGGGTCTCGGCGAGCCTCTCGGGCGTCCTGTACACCTTTTGCGCGCCGACGCCCAGGCCGGCGAGCACCTGGCAGAGGGCGCAGGCGCGGACGTCACCGACGGCGACGCCGTCGGGCAGGTTCTCGTAGACCTCGGCGTCGACGCGCGGCCCTTGCTGCTGCTGCTGGCGGAGGCGGCGCTGGCGGGTCTCGGCCTTTGACGGCCTTGTCGCGCAAGTGGGCGGCCTGGGCGCCGCCGCAATCTCGGCGAGCTTGCGCTTGTGCTGGCCGGCCTGGGCACGGTGGCGGCGTGTTCTCGTTCGCTGCTGACTGCTTCGGCGGCAATACCGCCCAAAGACGGCTGTCGAAGGGCGGTGCCTTCGCCGCAGTTTGACGGCTAGGGGCTGCCTCATGAAGCCGTCAAGGTCGCCGTGAGTTGGGTTCCGGAAGAAAAAGTGCATAGATAGTCTTGGCTGCGCGGGGGGGC